GATGATTAATGTTTAGGCTATCCTGATTTTGGCTTTTAGTTAATTTCAGGTGAAGAATAAAATGATGAGTGTTTGTATGGACAATTTGAGCTTAATGGCTTATGTTATCAATGGTAATTTTTAATAATTAAAATATTAGTCCAGGATAAATAAATTCATAAATTACAACTTGTTTTGAATGTGTTTAAAATCCAAAAGATTGGTACGATAACCCATTTTGTAATACATTTGTGTACCTAAATCAGGATGGAAGAACGACTTCGTTAGAATAAATATATTACTAATTTGCAGCTAAACCCTATTTCATTTTTAATGGTGTTAACCTTGAACTTTGTTTGGAATGTTAACAATCAAGTCTTACAAATTAGGAGAATATAAATTAAGATATAGCTAAGAAATAGGAATTATTTAATTCATTTTGTCTTTCTAAAATTTCAGGTTAATAATGTTCAAAATGCAGAATTGAATACTGCACGACTTGTGCTATTTAATAACAGGATAAATCTGTCTTTATTGTGAGGAATTCTCGAAATTAGAAGATGGTTAGTGTACCATGGTTTCTCCAGGAAAGTTAAAAGAAAATAATTGTTTATCACCGTATTACATATCATCAACAATGGAATGCAAAAAATGCTCTATTGAAAATTGCATTTATTGTTTTGAATATGTGGTTGATGATTTGAAATTAACAACTCTTTATCTGAACTTCAATTAATTCAATGGAGATGATAATATTTAGGTGGGATGTGCAATGTGTAATGATGGATATGTTTTTGATTTTAGAATTGGATTATGTCTTAAACAAACTCCAAAAATAGATTTCTGTCTTAGAAGTTATATTAATTAAGAGGGAACAGAAAAGTGTACTTTATCCTCAAAGTATGATTTCTCAGTCTCAAGAGAAATAATTAATTGTGAATAGTTCATTTCCAATTGTCTCTAATGTTTTCTTACTGTATAATAAATCTTAAGATGTATTGTATGTTAAGAAGGTTACACAACCTCAACATCTGAAGTCAATGGCTAATGTAATATAAGCTTAAAGCCAAATTAATTGATAAGTATAGAATCAAATGCATATCTAAAAGATGCATGGGTGTAAAGAATTTAGAGTTTTTTGGGATCCTTTTTACCTAATTCATATTTT